TAATGCATACAGAGCTCTATGATAATCCTAAGGACAGACTACATCTCAGTACTAAGGGGTATGAGGTGTGGCAGCAGACTATGGAACCACTGCTTAAAAAGTTGGACCCAACCCTGTAAACCAGTGTTAGCCAACCTTGTACAATTTGTAACTGTGTTACTATTTTTGTGTGTAGATAAGTAATAGCGACTATTAATTGTGACTATACTTGCGCAATTACAGAAAGTATCAGTCTACATAAATAAAAAGTGCACTCAATTTATAAAATTACCAATTGTAAAAGTAGGCAACCTTTTGTGTATCTAGATAAAAATAATAAAATACTATTTTTATAACTTATTTCAATTTTTATTATATTTAATCTCAAACTACCTTATTTTTCTAAATTGATAATATTAGAAAGGATATTTTAGATTTTTTCCAAAAATAATATGAATATCTAAATGAAATATTTCGCGCGTTAATTGTATAGTAAAAATTTTGAAATTATAAGTTAGATATTGTAAGGGAAATCAATATGACAGGCAATTAATATGCTGTCATTAGTGTAAAACAGTCCCCATAATTAATGAGAGTGTCTATGTCAATTTGAATACTTTTATTGCAATTTATAAAATAAATCAAAATTATTAATAATTGTAGCTATCATTTTGTCTATGTTTACACATTATAAATAGTAATTTTGTCACTTTTGTACTTGGTTGATTTATATTAGACTTCATATTAAATTCTTAAAAATAACTTAATGTATAAACATTGCCAAATATTTTACTATATAAGCAACTGTATGTTACATTACATAACAATCTTATGAGCAGTGCTCACACTTTAACATCAACTGTAAACTGTATATTAAATTGAGTTTATAAAATAAAGTGCCTTTTTACAATAATTTGTAGTTAATTTATTAATAATAATCTTGGTAAACGCGGACAACTATTTAAAATTAATTAAACTAGCTGATTTAAGGTACCCGTGAGCTGGGTATCAGTCGGATAGCCACAGGAGCTTACAATATGTTTTGAATGTTATTTTTGTTAATTTATTATAATTATATTTTATACAATATAGAATATATCTATTTTGTGCAAATTATTAACTTATTAAACAATTTTAAGTTTCAATTTAATACATGGTATCTAATTATTAGACAATATTATCAATCGGTTTCGCATTTCTATTGCAGTGTTGTATCAATCGGTTGACAGCAATGTCCGCATCACTCGAGTCACGCATTTGTTCGCAAATATTGCGGAAAACACTTAACTTATAGAAAGCGTATGTATTCTGCAATAAAATAATTATTATTAATACTATATTTAAAACTATACTTAACTTGATAATAAACAAATACTTACGTCATTGAATGCATAGCACTTCTCATTGAAAGTGTCGACAAGTTTCTTATAACAGTCCCTATTATTGAGCTCTAGTTTGCCATTCAATGCGATATTGGCGTCAATTCCCGGCAATTCATTCACGTATTCCTCGATCTGTTTGTCCAACAATTGTCTGTTGTTTTCCAATGCATTCAATTGCGAGACATATCTATTTGTTCACAAAAAAGCAGTTAATTAAATAACCTTGTTTACAATCATAGAAAATTAACTTAAACCTTACTGAGACAATTCAGCAGCATCATTTGTGTTTTTAATTAAATGTTTCAGGTGAAATAATTTAGAGTCTCTTATGGGGGCAAAACCACTAGGTATATACGATCCTGACTCGGAATTGATCGGGACCTTTTTGTCACCTAGTTAATAAAAGTTATTTTTAAAATCTTATTTTTTAAAAACCCTTAAATAAAGTATATACCTTGGTAATCAGATACGTGTTGTTTAGTAGCAATACTTAAATCACCATACTGCTGAGCATGCTGGGAGTGTTTAGTACCGTCCATGGTGAAATTGTTATGTTCTTTAATATAATCATATTGCGTGGAAATTAGCTCCTTGGTAAGATCACTTTTTTCACTGTCATCAAGCCATATGATAGTAAAGTAAGTAGCTATAATAAATAACATATTGTAATGAGTAACACTGATAGAAACTGAATAATCCTTTATGAAACTCACCTAGCCAAGTATTATATTTTTCCCATTCACTTTCAGCTTTCCACCCTAATTCACCCACCTTGGTGGCAGTAATAGCGTAAACATTAATATCAGTTGGCAATAGTTTAGCAAACATAGATCCTATTAAAATAATGAATTTTATTAAAAAATAAACATAATATAAAATATAATTAAATAACGTACCTGATTCACATGCAGCCAGATAAAATACGAGCTGGGAGAATTTATTTTGTTTATGCATTTCGATCAAGGCATTATTGAGATCCTTAGCGTATAACATGGGAGCACCCGAGGGAAAAGCCACCACCTCTGCAATATTTTAATATTAAAATGATAACAATTCAATAATAGTAAAAATTAAATTATTAACATACCATCACCACCATGGTCATCTAAATAGACAAAAATACGATCATTGGGTCCACTTTTGACTACCTTTTTGCCCGATTTTTCTAAGGTCTCGTCTCCAGCAATAGCTCCCAAAAAGTTCTGTATTTATAAATAGATTTAAAAATATTAAAACATTTTGATATAAAAATTAATTTGAACTAGTACCTTTGGGGTGACATCTTTGCCGATGTAGTGTTTGGGCACTTCATACGGGGTTTTGTAGACATCCGTACCGTTCACTCGGTTGATGACCACACCGGGTGTGGGGTTACTCTTATGGTGAGCGATATCGTCGTAATGCATAACAATTATGTTTTCGTCGGGTATTCCGTGTTTACGGACCACTTGGTAGGCGTGGTATACGTCGGCCTTTAGGGATTTGAAAAATTATAAAATATTTTTTAGTTAAAAATTATGTTAAACATTTAATTCACTAAATAACTTTGATTTTCACTTATTTTAATGCATTATACTAAATATTAATAAATTTAATTAATAAAATTGAACTAATAAATATAATGCAAGTGTTACATAATATGTAAAAGTTAACTGATATAAATTAGTAATATTTTAAAAATTACAGGATATTTGTTATAAATAACTAGCTAATTTTTGTTAAAATTGTCTCGCGTATCTTTATGATAATTATTTATTTAATTAACTTAATTATTGAGCTAGGAAAAACAATGAAAGTTATACACAATAGGTAATGAGCTAGTGTGATCATTAAATTGTTTAAAAAATTAATATTAAAAAAATATTCAAGCAATTAACGCATACCTCCATGCCATAATTATCCCACCCCGATGCACTAGCACACAAAACCACCCAGGTCTTTCCCGCGTGAGGTTCACGCAATTTGTCTAAAAATGGGACCGCATTTGTGGCTACGAATAGCACCGAAAAGACTGCAAACAACTTCATAATTAAATTTTATTTTTATAATAACTATTAATTTTTTGTAAATTACTCTAGTCTATTTATATAAAAACTTTATACCTGTGCTATTATATAACAAAGCGTAGGTTATGTCACTATAAGCATATGCCTGATAAGTCAATGCATGTTAGCAAATACAGTTGAAATAACTTTATCAGATAGTTATACAGTGTTTGACAAAAGGGTTGAGACAAGTTATGTTTAATTAAATATAGGTTAGAATTGAGCTAGATTAAAACAAAATTTTTTGCAACTATTGTTTT